GCAAAGAGAAAAGTGAGATTGCTAATGGAGGTCAATGATATTATCTATAAGAATAAATTAAGATGATAGTTTCTGCATTCGAAGAGCATCTTTTTGTAACCCTAGAAAATAGATATAATAATTGATAAAATCATAGAGTACATGATTATGCACTTGATGAAAAAGGGATATGTAATTTAAATCTACGAGTGCTTGAGCAGAGAAAAAGGACTGACATCCTTTTAGCATCGTGCGAACTGAAAAGTTTACGGGAAAGATAGAAAGGAAGTTGAGGTTTAGGGTTTGATTATTTTTTGGTGAATAAAAGATTAACGTTAACTGTATTTTGTATCATATTTAATCATAGTTTTAATCATGATGAAGCTGCAAAAGTAACTCATACTGTAAGTACAATTTTCTTATTCTTCTAGCTAAGTGTTGGTTAATTTACCTTTTCGTTATCATCATCAGTCAATAATGATCATTATCTACATCTCGATCTATCTTACAGCACTTTTTGTATAACCTTTTTTAAAACGTAATAGTATTAAGTTAAATTTTATACCAATTTTTTTTCTTCTAATCCTTTGTTAATTCAGATTCTTTGTCTGGTAGGAAATAAACAAATAGAAATGGAAAGTTCAACAACGATCCGTTAAATCTAGCTCACTTACCATGATTTAAACACCATAAAACACACACAATTATTTTTGGGTCTGACTTACAATTAAGGATTTTCTATAACTAGAATTGAGAACAAAATAATATGGAAATTTTGTGGGGCTAAGAAGATATAGCAACATCAGTGGAGACAGTGGGGAATAAAAGAAGAGCTTTGGTTTAAGGGTAAATTAAACAAAATATCGCAATCTGTAGAACGGCGAGAAAGAGAGAGCAAAGAAGGCGACATGACCTCTCTGCCCAACCACATGTCTTCCATAATCCCACAGCTCATTCAATTTTTGTTTTTCTTTTATACTATTTGTCAACTTTGTTACTGTTCTTTTTTTCCTCTCTCACTTGATGATTTTCCTCAAATCTAGTCTGTGCCTCTGTGGTACAAGCCACTTAAAACCATCGATTAGGAATTTAGGATCAGAAATTTATCTTATTGATTTTTGTAGTATAATTGGTAATTAACAATTTCTCTTTCTAATTTTGAATTTGAATTTATAACTATTTTTGTCATTATCTTTCTCATGTTTGCTAATTTCAAGGAAAATCTATATAACATCATCTTTTGTAGACATATTACAATATTACATGAAAATTTAATCTCTAGTTTTTTTCTAAAACCCTAAAATGCACTTTATAATTGTTGAAGGACTCAAAATCCTTTTATTTTGTTTTGCCGAGTTCCTATTTCACGATTTCTATGACCGTGTTGGTTAAGCAGCTGAATCAAACGTTATTGAATGTAACAATAGATGGTACATGGAAAGGTAAATGAAGATCAACATCACATTCACAGTTGTTGACATCCTTAGGATACTCACAACGAAAGAGACCTTGCTTTGTCCTTAACGCAATTTTTCTTTTTGAATAGTTTCAAAATTTTATTTTTAAATTAATACACAAACGTAATAGAGAGACCCATAAGAAAACAAAAATTCTCAAATCGATATTAATTATTCTCACACCTCAAGCGGGAACCAAAAATGTCGGTCGAGAACAACATCTCACTTTAAATTCACACGAATTTGACTTCCCACGGTCATGGATCCATCCAATGTACCAAAATTTAAATCGACCGCGTCGGTTTACTAAGTCAACTTGAAGTATTATTGCAATTCAAAAAAAAAAATGTTCATGCAAACAAATTAATGTGTAGACACTACAATTAAAATGTAGATGGTACGTACAAAGAAACGATTATAAAGTCTACAATTATACAAAGAAACGATAGATTTGAGCTCTTAATGCGTCTATATAAAGTAAAAAACCGTAAGAGATTAGTGTCGAAACATAAGCTAAGGTTTTGTCGGGGGTATGTCCATAATACTGCGCCCATAATTAAGAGATCAAAGTGGTCCATTTATCTCATATATGTCAAAATATGAAACATCTTCTCCGAGTTAAGACCAAAACGACGTCAGTTTGAAACCGATTACATTCTTTCTCTTTCTGCTACTTTGGCTCGGTACGGTTTAGATGGTCCAGACCGAAGCTGTACAGTAAGCGAAGCTGAAGCTCTCGACTCTTCTTCACTCTTCCATTATTGCTGGTTCACACGTGAACACAACGTTCCCCATATGCACGTGGCTCTTATTAATTGGTTGGGATCTTAGAGGATAGTAGTCCCACGTGGGAAATCAGCATGGCGTCATATTGTAGGGACTCCAATTTTTTCTTTATCTGTTTTTTTGCGTTTTTGTTTTTCCTTTAACGCTATTTGTTTTTTCTTATGTTATGTATCTAATATTTATTGGAACATCACCCCCGTTACTAGTGATGTTGAATATTATCCTGTAGGAATAAATGAATCTTGACAAGGATATGAACTTCAACTATATATCTTTTTTTATTTTTGAAAACTATATATATTTTTTTATTTTTAAAAACTATATATATTTGTATCTTAACTATATATATTTAAAATTAAGCAAGTAATTTACCAATTGTCATCAATCATCATTCAATGAAATAATTCACACGGTCACACGTATGCTTCACCACTGTCACTCTTAACAGTCTAACTAAATCCTTTTTGTCCGAACAAAGTATCCACTACATATTATTTGAGGAGTAACATTATTGAACGTAGTTTATTTGTCAACACTACAGTCAAAGTTAGTGCTTTTAATTAATGACATGTAAATATGACATGTCAAACTTCTTAAAATAAACGAAATGTTTTGATTGGTTGAATTAGAATTATAGAAATTATAGAATTAAAACATAAATAAAGGACACAAACTGCCAAGTGTTCAACTAATTTCGTATAATCAATCTTAACAAAATACATGCACGGGAAAGTTTGCATGTTTTAAATATATTCATAATTTGAAATTGTTTTAAACTTTTATTGAAATTGTTTTAAAAAACATAATTAAATAATTTTTATTTTCAAACAAATATTTACTAAATGAATAAAATATATACTAATCATTATTTTAAAATATTAATAGGACCAAATATTTTTCTATAACTTTTATCATCTTTTTATTGTTGTTTTCTAAAATGTACATAACTTATGTTACTATCTCATCTTATCTCTTATCATATTTTAAATAAAAATAAAATTTTATATGATATATATATATATATAAATTTATTTTTGTTGTATATCAAAAATTTGAGATCATAAATGAAATGAAAAATAACCAAACGATAAAATTAATTTCAATAAGATAGAAAAATATGAATAATAATTAAAAATATAACTATATAAAAATAAAGCTCTCGTACTTTGTTTTACAAAGTCACTTAAAATCTTTTTGACACGTAAAAGCTATATTCTCACTTTTTTACAAATATGCATACAAACATATATATTAATTTTGCATTAGTTAAAATCACATGCAAAATTTTTCGTGCATGTATTTTGTTAAGCTTGATTACAGTCTAATATTTATTTTAATTATTATACAATTTATATTTTTTAAAAAATCTTTATTTATTCTAAGTGTAGTGAAGTGGTTGGTATGCCTGCATCATGCATATCAACCATCTATCCGCTTTTCGGTTTAAGTAAAAATGAGAAAAACTATTTCAATTTAATTTACAATAAATCAAGAAAAACTATATACTTAAATATATTATATATGTATTCGCAAATTCATATTATTTAAAATAAAAAAGCATATGTAGATTGTATAAGGAGAAATAAAGCATATTATAGAAATATTTAAAAAATATTATAAAATTTAATTATTATTTAATATAACTTTTATATTTGTGATATATATTATTACAAGCATTATAAAAATAAAAAGTTTTAAAATATATTGGTTTCAGAAAGAACTTTGTACAATATTAAAACAATATATATGCAAACATACTAATATTTTAAAAAAATTAATCAACACTTAAATATTACAATTAACTATGTATATCAAAAAAATTATATCCGTATATATGTGCGGACCAACCACCTACTTAAATGTATTAAGAAAGGGCCCAAAAAACCTCAGTATAAAAATTTAGTGGGCTCAAAGCCCACGTGACTCACGCTCTTATCTTACTTGCGCACGTTAGACCTGAGGCAAAAAAACACGAGACATCAACACTCACGCGCTTCGCCGCGTGGAGAACTCATTTGTTTTTTTTTTTCCTGCTAAGCCCTTCCTTCCGGTCCGGCTAAACCGGCAGATAAGCATATTCCGACCGAACACGCTTCTTGTCTTCCACTTTTTGTGTCAGATGAATATTGATTGCGATCAGAAACAGATATTTCGCTAGAGAAAATCCCAATTTAGGAAATATTTTTGGAGATGATGAAGTTTAAGTTAGCCACGAGAGAGATTGAAAACATGTGGCTGTGTTGTATAAGAGACCGAGTCACCCGAACTTCTTCTCCCTCACGCCATTCTCCTACCACTCGGACCTAACCAACAAAAACCCGCCACGTCATCGTGAATCCGAGTTCCCGTGAGTTAGGGATCTTTACTTGAAGGAACCAGACATGACCGCAGAGTCACACACACACACAAACCAAACCTTCAGAGTTTTGTCGTCCCCTCGTATGGAATCCATTCTGGGGCGACACAAACAAAATATCCTCTTTTGCTTCTGCTCTTCTTCTTCTTCTTCTTAAGATTTGTTTTTTTTTTCAGGTGGATTCGCTCCCCATATTTACAAAAACAAAAACTAAAACACAAACTTATAATCTTTTGAAATTGGGATTGATCCAAAGTGTTTTGACCCTCTTAAATTTCGATCTTGGCACTTGGTTTCACAAGGTAACATTTACTTCTTCAAAGAGTTTCGATTTCTGTTATTGAGGTTACTTGTAGGGAAAGGTATCAATAGGATTTGTTGTGAGCTTTAGGGAGGACAAGAAGAAGAAGAAAGGAAGAAAGATGGGAGGAATGAAAGATGAGGCCCAAAGGATAACAATTCCTCCATTGTTCCCAAGGGTTCATGTAAATGATACTGGAAGAGGAGGCTTGTCTCAGCCATTTGGTGGCAAATCAATGTCTCTCTGTAAACGTTCCACTCTTCCTTCTCCGACCAAAAAGATCTCTGATTCTCCTTCCACTCTCTCTCTGTCTCTTCCTCCACCACCCAACAGCACACATCTTGTGAGTTCTTCACTCATCTCACTTTTAATCTTCCGGTTCATGATTTTGTGTCTGCATAGAAAGACTTTCATTGTATACTCTTTCTTGGTGAGACTAAGGCATTGATCAGAACAGAATCAACAATGCATATACTTTGAATCTCACTTGTCGAATACTTTTGTTGTTTTTAAACAGATTGATCGACCTGAAAAGAATCAGTTTCCACCAATCTGTAACACTTCTCCAGCATCAAAGTTTCATGGCAAGATGATTAAAAAAGGCATGAATTATCCAAGTCCCAGAGGATCATCAGTTACTAATACTAAGCATAGTTCAATAAAACAAAATGAATACCATTTCAAGAACCTCACCAGCTTGGACTCTCTTAAAGTTCCTCCCGTTATAAGCTCAGAAGCAGATCCACAAGCAAACACAGATTTGTCGCTCCAGTTTTGTAATATCAGTAGCAGCAAAGCTAGAGGAGAAGCTGCTGGTTCCAAATCTGCCCTGAACAATCTTCAAATTCAAGAGTTACTTTTACAAGAATCTTTGGAAGATGAAAAAAGCCAGAATGGGTCACATAATGTGATGAAAGCTCATTTGTCTAGAAGAAGAGCCCTTGATGGATCTAACGTTGAAACTCAAAAGAAGCCCAAAACTCTGCCTCCGCGAGAACAGGACGTCTCAGAGTGTTCTGCAATAGACTCTTTGTCTGGTATGAGTGCAGCTTCTAATGATGTTGCTAGAGTGATAGGTGACAAGAGGTTTTGGAAGATGAGAACTTACATGATCAAGTATGTATCCTCTCACTCACTATTACAGTCTCTCTAGGTTCATAGAATTGCCATGTTTCTTACCATTTCTTGCTGATATTTTCAGACAGCAGAAGATCTTCTCGGCGCAGGTCTTTGAGCTACATAGACTGATAATGGTAAGCTGCTAATAACAAGAGGAGAAATATAATTTGCTTCCTAAGCTTTTTCAGCTTTCATGTGTTCTGACCTTGAACTTGAACTTGAACATGATACAGGTTCAAAAAATGGTTGCAAAATCGCCAAACTTGGTTCTTGAAAGTAAGCTTAATGGTGGAAAACGTGGTGCAATGAGGTCATCACATTTGCTTGAAATGGCTGCTTCAAAGGTTGAAATACCAAACACAGAGAACCACAAACCTCTAAGCAAAGAATATACAGAGCATATGAAACCAAAGCTTCCTCTACCTTCCTTAAGCAAAGACCTCGTGGCTCCAATTTGGCCACAACAGCTACTTCCTCCACCTGGAAACCAATGGTTAGTTCCTGTAATGTCTCCTTCAGAAGGTCTGGTCTATAAACCATACACAGGACCATGTCCTCCTCCTTCTTCAGCTTTCATGGTTCCAATTTATGGCCAAGATTCGCTCGACACAGCAATCAGGTTCCCTGTTTCTCCTCACTTTAGCCAAAGCTACTTCCCAGCGCCTAACGCGATGACGACACTTGACCAGACAAACCTGTTTGGTCAGTTGCCAAGATGGTCCAGCACATCGAGCCACATGACTCAAGCGATTCCGTTTTCATTAAAGAAGACGTCTCAAGGATCTAATGAAAGCACAGCTTCAAGTCCACCAGAGAAACATAAGTTCGATGTGCTTCCTCTTTTCCCTACAGAGCCTACTCATCACACTGATGAGTACAAGCAGAAACAGCAACCTCTGTTTCGCGCCATTAAAGCCGTTCCTCATAACTCAACATCTGCCTCTGAATCTGCTGCAAGAATCTTCCGTTCCATTCAGGAAGAAAGGAGGGACACCGATTATATGATTTGTTAGTTTTTTTTTTTACTTTCCACATTCCCACATTCTTTTGCTCTATAATTGCTTCTTCTTCATCTTAGCTTAGATTTTCAGTGTATTTCTATTTACTCTTCATATGAAGATGTAAATCAATACTGTCACTATACATAAAACATACACACACACGTGTACACACATCTTATATTGATATTGTATTTGACAAACAGCAAATAAAAGATAGATTTTTTTTTTTGATATTGCATTTGACAAACAGCAAACAAGGGACTGAAAATATATCAATACTCTTTTATTCAAACATCTGTAAAGTTATATTTTCATTAGCCATTGAAGTTAAATGTGGAAGGAGGCAATAATGATCAGTTGTGTCCTTGCAAGAACAGCACAGAACAAAAACCATTAGAATCCATTAGAATCCATTAGAATCCAAGAACCTTTGGTGCAAGTTTAAGTAAAGGCTCCAATGCGCTTGGAGCAAACTTTCTTGCAAAGAGATAACAAACTTGAGATGGCTGATCATTGTATAAGCAAGATTTAGCTTGAGGAAGCTTCTTGAGGAAACTCTCTGTTATATCAGACTTGCCAAAAGTAGCAGGATGAGCACCACCTCTTGACCAATCTGTCCAAGTCAAGGTCCGTTTCGCCAGCGAATGAGGATAAAAAATGGAGAGCATCGTTGGGAAGTAATGTTCATCCACGTAACAAGGAGGTCTACAAAACTCTTTGAACTTGCGATAGTAAACGGTATCTTCAACAATGTCAAGAGCGAGATTCCGGTTGATTTCAAACCACTGAGACCCTTTTCTCCACTGGCTTAGCTGGACTTCCGGTCCCATCGCGTAGCTGTATCTGCCTCTCCCGTAAGGACCGTCCTCGTCAACAGAACCCATGAAACTATATCTTGATCTTGAAACGTAGTTGTAGATGAAGTCGAAACCTCGGAGAGGAATGCAAGCTTCAGAGAGCAGAACAAAATATTCATTAGAGAAATCAAGCAACGCGTTAGCCAAAAGCCTCCTTTCAGCTTCACACATACTCATCTCTCCCCAAGCCACAGGCTACACACAAAAAGATAGAAAAACTCCTAAATTTGAGAAACTAAAAGAAGCAACATTACTAAAAAAAGGAGATTTGGTCTGATCAATAATGAAAGTACCTGACTTGGGATCTGTCTTCTGTAAAACACAGATGAGCTTGGGAAATCAGATGTATAATTTGGCAACGTGTGAACGTAGATTGAGTAAAACTCCTCATGCCCTTTGAAAAACTTTTCCCATAGTGGAGCTAATGGCAAAGGGCCTTTGGTGAGAAACATGAATGATATTTTAGGAACCCTTTTAAAGGGATATTGTAATCTCCTTGGCTCCATTGATGCACGCCAAAGAAGCTCGCTGTCATTCATGGAGTGCCAAACACTCGATGGAGACTTGATAAAACTCTCCAATGTACTTCTCTCGTCACACTTAGAGATCAATGTGGTTGGAGCCAAAGTCTGAATCTTCAAGTACTTGATCATGTGCATACTAACGACTGAGATTCCAAGAGCCAAAACAACGAACATCAAGAATATCTGAAGCAACCGCATCGGTAAAAGAGTCCTACATTGGTTTGTAGGTCTTAAATTGGAAGCTAATGTAGCATTATCTTTAACAACTTCCTCCTTCCCCATCAGCCTCAGTTTTCTTGATGAACAGAACCAGTTTCTTTTTGTGGTTAATACACAGAGATACACAACACTTTGGAGTAAAAGAAGCCTATGTTACCTATACAAGAAGATAAACAACTAAAAACACACAATTTAGATTAAGTTTTTATAAAATCCCCAAATATCAACAGTGTGTTTAATCACTGAAACTAATCAGATAAGATTAAAGGTTTTACCAAATGGGTTTTTGTTTCCAAAAACGCAGACAAGCCAAAACGTACGAGAAGTTCCAAATTCCTCAAACCTAGTTCCTGTCGTCACGGAAGAACAGAGAGACATTGAAATCCGAATCAAATGTATTTAAAATGTAAAACAGAGATTCGAGAGAGAGAGTATTGCGAATTCACTTGTTATTATGGATTGAAATAAAAATCGAAACTTTGAATAGGAAACGCACCGGAAAATAGAAGATTATGGTTTTGGATCTTCTCAATCACGCATTTGGTTCAGCTCTCGGATTTGTCCATGTTTAAAATCTTTCCTGATGATCGCAGTCGGGGGATGTTCTCTAAAATTCTCATCTGATATTTTTGTATCTACTTTTGGAAACAGTGAGCTTTAAATGTAAGAAACCTTGGAAAAGAAAACATAATATTAATAAAGCATTTCTGTAACTGATGGCGTCTCACTTACAAACGTTTTTATTACACAATACAAACGTATTATGGTTTGATTACAGTGTATTAAACACTTCGGAAACATACGAGTTATATCAATCATTTTGATTAACCGTGTATGTATTATTATTATTCCTAGTTGTCAAGCTTTACTATTGAAATGCTTAAATGTGGTTTTTGTGTTTGATTTGGTTTGGTCTTTCAATTTTTCAATCTTTTTATTTTCTGTTATTCTCCAGTTTGGTATGGCTGTTATCAACAATAGTTTGGCGCTTCAAGGATTCAGAATTATTGTTTTTGCATTAAAAACAAAAAGAAAAATCTGATTTCAAAGTTGATATCAAAAGAAAAAGTAAAAGAGACATACCCAAAATTATGGGAATATGAAAGTTGTTTTGATTCAAATCTTGTATTCGGAAACAACTTTTAGAAGTGTAAGTACAACTCTTACAAGACTTGTTCAATATCTCATGCTGCTAATTAGATTCCATATTTAGTGTATAAATCTCTCTTTTCTTCGTCTTTAGGTTTAAGCTTTAAAGCTTTAAGCCTAAAGACGAAGAAGATAGTTGCAAGCGAAACGCTGCCGTTTTAATGCTGATCAAATGACATATTCATCCTTTATCACAAAGTTCTGAAATTTTAGCTGCTTCCCTGAAGCTCGATTCGATTTTCCGATCAAAAACACCATTTTTCAATGTTAGCCACTACGCCTGCTCATGCTCTCAGGTACGTTGTGCCCACGCGCTCATTGCTTCTGAGGCTCAGATGCTCCTCCTCTTCTCTCGCTCCTCTCTCATCCTCTGAATTCGCCGCCGGTAACACCCAGAAGGTGAACGAAGAGAAGAGCATTGACGATGGCTCCGGGAAGAAAACGGCGCCGTATTACCCGAAACGAGGGCAGACCGTGGAGCTTGTGTGCGAGAGTTTGGGTTTCAAAGGCAAAGGAATCTGTAAGGTTGATGGCACTGGCTTCGTCGTCATGTGCGACCGAGCTCTTCCCGGCGAGCGTTTTCTCGGCCGCGTCACCCGCCGCAAAGGCAGCTATGCGGAGGTTTCTTAATAAAAATTTCCCCTTTTTTTGCTTCAATTTACCGAATTGATCAGAAATGTGAACCAAGTCGACGGATTTATTATAAAGTTTCGATTTTTTCGTTGTTCATACTTGCTTGCTTGTTTGTTGTTATTCAGGTGACGAAGATCAAGACGTTGTCTCCACACAGAGACTTAGTAGAAGCTCCATGTGAGTATGCTTCCTATTGTGGAGGTTGCAAAACGCAGAATCTGTCTTATGAAGCGCAGCTTAGAGCTAAAGAAGAGCAGGTTCATGAGCTCATCACACATGTTGGAAGGTTTTCTGATAACGATCCAAGCCTTGACACTGTCCTGAAGCCTATTGTTGCCTGCGATATCCAGTTTCATTATCGGAACAAGGTTTTTGATTGTTTGTTTCTTGTCAAAACTTGCTTTGGTTTGAGATTTGGCTTGCTTATATATATAACTTAAAACGTTTTTGAATGTAGATGGAGTTTTCATTTGGTCCACAAAGATGGCTTCCGGTTGAAATGTTGCACGAGAGAGAAGATGGTCCAATGAGCTTTGCATTGGGGCTACACGCACCTGGATTCTTTGACAAGGTTCTAAATGTCGACAAGTGCTTACTACAGAGCGAGCCTGGAAACATGGTATTGGTGAAAGCAGTTTGAACAAAATCAGTAGTATTTGCTTATAGAGCTCTTCCTTATTACAGAATCATAGTAACTTTTTCTTCTTCTTTTCATAATTGAAATTAGGTTCTTGCTGCTGTTCAAGATTGCTGGAGAGATCCCCAATTGAGTCTTTCACCATATAATGCTCGTTCACATGCCGGCTTTCTTAAACATTTGATGCTGAGAACTGGAAGGTATTAAAGGTACTTGAAATTAAATTGTTTGATAGTATAAGCAACTTGCTCTCGTAATATAAGACAAGCTGATGGAAGTGAAAATCATAGTTGTATCTGCGCAGATGGTTCTTTCATTTCCCTAGTTTGGCTAATTCTTTCTTGATATCTCAAACTTGACCAATAGGAATGTGGAGACTGGTTCACAAGAGCTCATGGTCAATTTTGTGACGTCTTCTTATAAGCCAGAGCTGTTGAAGCCACTGGTTGATAGAATTTCATCAATTCCTCAAGTGGTTCGTTATGAAAAACTTATTTGCTCCATTCCTGCAATTAATCGGTTGATAGAAAGACTCAAATTTTTCTTGTGGCTCATGAAAATGCAGGTAAGCATCATGAATAATGTAAATTCCTCTGTTGGAAATACATCGGTTGGGGAACAAGAATATACTCTTTACGGGAAAGCTACAATCGAAGAGGTCTTAAGAGGCCTCACTTTTCAAATTTCAGCCAACTCTTTCTTTCAGACTAACACTCATCAGGTATATAGAACAATTAACCAATTTGATTCCTCTTACATACCCAAACATTAAACAAAGTACTTGTGGGGAACTAAGTTGATGTTGCACTGTGCAGGCTGAAGTTTTATATAAGCTTATTGAGGAATGTGCTGGACTTAAAGGAGATGGCTCAGAAGTCGTTCTTGATCTTTTCTGTGGAACTGGTACCATAGGTCTTACACTTGCCAGAAGGTAAGAAACATGAGTTTTATAGTATTGACAGAGATTAATAAGTTTTAGCAGTTTTGATTGTTGCTGAATTGTTCAGTCTTGATTCAGGGCCAAGCATGTGTATGGTTATGAGGTAGTTCCACAAGCAATAACAGATGCACACAAGAATGCTCAAATAAACGGCATAGAGAATGCAACATTCATCCAAGGGGATCTAAATAAAATTGGAGAGGATTTTGGAAGCAATTTCCCTAAACCTGATATTGTTATTTCTGGTTATAAGTCTTCTTCACATAGCTTCATTTCAGCTTGCTTTCTATTACTTTGCAGTCTACAAGATTTTTATTCTCTCTTACTCATTAGAGAAGCTTCTTTCTATATACAGATCCCAATCGACCTGGTATGCACATGAAGTTGATCAAGTTTCTGCTAAACCTTAAATCTCCAAGGATCATTTATGTTTCATGTAATCCTGCAACATGCGCTAGGGATCTTGATTACCTCTGTCATGGAGTGGTTAGTATAATCTAATCTTCTTTCTGGAATATTTTGCGCTTTATATCATTTCGTAAAGGTAATCAACAAAACTTGGTGGTTTTTAAAACGTAGGAGGAGAAGAATATAAAGGGTTGCTACAAACTGATGAGTGTTCAGCCAGTGGATATGTTCCCTCACACTCCTCACATCGAATGTGTCTGCTTGCTTGAGCTTGCTTGAGCTCTCTTGTGACCATGGCTGCTTCATTTTGATAGGAAACAAATGAAAACAGAGATTTTTTTAGGAGTTTTGATTTTCCGTTAGAGTTAAGTCTCTTTAATCTTTTTCATCAATTCTGTAATAGCAATCACAGACAAGCATGTAGACCTCTTTAAAGAAGGTGAAAGAATCTTAAAGAGAAAGCAGAAAGTGGTTTTTAATTTCACAACTTCTCAGAATCGTTCAAATAAGATACCATTAGGAATGATAGAGAAGAAGGAACATGATCACACCACCTTTCATGAATCAACTTAGATAAATCATTTGAATTGATTGACTAAAGATAATTTTTGCAAAAAGAAAATTAAATGAATCCAACAGGAAAATGATCAATGTGCCAAGTAGAAAGAAATGATTTTAAGGCTAAATAAATGTAAAATGAATGGATTTCAATGTTCCAATAAGCTTTTCTTCTTCAGTGTCTTCTTAATCTCGTTTTCTCGAGCTAACTTGACGAGCATAAGCCGCAACACGCTTTGCCCATTTCACAATATCTGCCTTGAGCTTTTCGGAATCCATACGATTCAACGACAATGGTTTCTTCTTCCCATCCGTTGATGACTCCATGAACGAGAATGACAAGCATCGATAACGACTCAGCTTCTGGCTTCCATTGCTCTTTCTCTCTGAAGCCTGTTTCTTCACAGACATGTCAGAGATCTCTCCAAGTGACGATAGATAATTTTTGTGAAAATTTTGAGTTATGGAGAGACTTTTAATAGAGAAACATGCGCAGACAAAAGAAAGAGAGTCTTACAAGCTATTAGACTTTGTGTTAAGGTAAAAGACGTGTAAGCGAAGCATGTTGCTTTCGTTGACGTTTGACTTTGTCAATGCATATTCTTCTCTAGTTCTCTTCTCGTTGTTTCGCAAATGGAATCTTTTTGATTCTATATGCTCCAACTAAAACTTGAAATCGTTAATCTATAATAAGTCGTTGACTAAACACAATGAAGACAGAGTTTGGTTTGCTCTGTTTCTTAGTCTTAACTGTAGCAAGTAACCCCAATCTGATATTGGTTCTCCGGTCAGATGAGTCAGTCACATTGTGTCTCTATGTTTCATGCATGGTCTTGTGCCTTTGTGAAGGTTTTTCAATATGTAAAATCAGTAATAAGAAACTTACACGTTTGACCAAAAAAAAAAAAAAAAAAAAAAAACTTACACTGGATTACAAATCATTTCATCAAAACAGACATACTGTGAGAATTTCTAAAGTGTGAAGAAAGTAAAGAAGCCAAGAGCTAAAAGAAAGTTTCTTCTCCATTTGAGTATGACAAGAACTTTATGAGTTACAACAACAAACAAATTGAGGTTTTTCTGTAAAAACTAAAGCAATTCTCAAAAAGAAAACTGAGTAAATGAGCAACAATGTCTTCTTCCACCTAATCTGAGTTATTTTTTTTTTTCTTTTTTCTTTTAAAATTACACCCCCCACCACTATGCTATACGCTAACTTTTACATATACACCTCCACTCCGAAGATATCTCTGTATTGTACAGCAAGCCCATCCACCACCACTCCCTAGAACTGGGATATTTTCATCTCGGTGTATGCTCTAAACCGAAGCAAAGAACACACCAATGCCAAGACGAAAACAAACCAGTGACCAAACTCATCTCATCATGTACTTCCTGCAGGTGGTAATCCTCTGTGCACCTGTCTAGCTGACCCCTTCACTGCTTCGCTTATCCTACTGAAGACTACTTTCAGAGGGATGCAAGATACAACCCGCTCGTTCGTCTTCTCTACCGTCACTTTCTTCTTGCTACTTGCTGTCAGCTTCTGGCTCTGGCCACTTAGAGCAGAGAGGCACCTTGTCTTCTTCGAAAGAGACGATGACTTCTTGGACTTTGATGATTTATACGGAGGAATGAGTGGTTTCTTTTTCTTGGATTTCCTTTTCCGCGATGGTTTCGGCTTCGCATCATCATCATCCACCATTGGAACACCAAGTGACTTGATGTGACTGTGCACAACGCTGTCACATGATCCATCTTCAAGCACTTCAACCGTTAAAGGATGCCCCACAATAGCTTCACCATACAGTTTACTCCTGAGGGAAATCAGCGGGACAGTTCGAGGTTCATAGCTGGCTTTTACCTCGATCTCCACGTCACGCAGTTGAGACTTTCTTCCCATAGCCAGAGTGCTGAAACGACCGTGTGGCTTTTGAGCAGAGACAGAACAATGAGTACTTCCTTCTTCCTGTCTTTTACTCCTCTGCCTTGGGTTCCTTTTCCCTTTTAGCTGCCAACTTGAAGGGATATTCTCGATCCCATAGATAAGTATAGCTGCTGGACTTGTACAAGCAGATCCATTACATCCTTCGATTTTCACCACATCATCATGGCTATTCTGACCATATGGCCCTGTTGGTACAGAGACAAGACCCTTTGTTGGTGAAGATGTGATAGCCGCCGTCGAAGTACCTGGAACAACAATGGACGTCAGTTTAAGTCATGCTAATCACAGCAAACCAGACAAAGAAGCTACCAAAGCCGATCTAACTAATTAAGTGTTTGATCCAAACAGGCAGAGAAAGACATGAGAGCAGATAACCATCTTAAGCCAATACCAGAAACACGCAGAAACAATTAGCAACTACGAGCAACAGAAGTGTGAACGAACAGAGACGCACACTGCAAATGTCCCTCAGACCAAAAGGGACCATTCAATCACCAGAATATTTAAAAAAAAAGGTTAAAGCCATTTATACCGGCAGAGTATTTTTCTTCTCCAATCAGTGGAACATCAAACAATCCACTGGCAGAGCCACCGTTTGCAGAAACTGAGATTTCATTCTCTTTCGCCTTGTTATGGTTCATTTCAACAACATTTTCAGAAGCACTTAATGAAACAGTAGCATTCTCACACGAAACCCCATCGCCGTCGGAGTTATCATCGTCGATTACAGCAGCACCGTTGGTTTCAGAGAACTCTGGAGGAGGCGAAGAATCAGAATTGTCAAGTTCGTCAGAGGCAACAGGAACAGACACCACAGCAGTACTCTCCAACACTTTTGTCAGCGGCCGTTGTCGGGTTTTCCTTTTAGCGTACTGATTAGCATTTGCGACTTGCGACCTTGTTCTTCTTCTCATTGGCGGAGAACTATCTCTGCTACTACCATTGGAAAGAGTCCCATTCGGCATGGAACCATTGTTGCTTACATCACTTTTAACTCCATTTTCCTGCTTAGCCTTGAGCACTGCACCGCCCTGTGCTTTTCCCTTTGATCCTATACCCATTCCAATATCCTCAAGCCCTCTCATTCGTTTGCTCCCATCCTCTCCATCATCTTCTGTGTCATTTGGTGTCCTCCTTCTCTTCTCTGCCAAAGGCTGCACCTTTGAAGCTTTGCCGTTATTGGTTTTCTTTAAAGATACACTAGACTGCAATGCATCTTCGTCCTTCTCAGAAGACGAATCATCTTTTCCAGTAAGAAGCTCTTCCTTAGCTTTGGCAAGGTGTGCCTTCTCAATCTCTAGAGCATGGATAATGGCATCTTCTCGGCGAGCATACTTGACAGCCTTCTTACTAGAAGCCGATGCATTAGCCTTCGCTAACTCAATCCAAGAATCGTACTCCCCACAACGAAACGCCTTCACCCTCTTGGACTTCTCAAGATTGTACCAATCCCTGGAGAGAGATCAAAGCAAAATGATAGTTCCATCAATCATTCATAAAGCAAAACCATTTTCAAATGCTCAAAGGCAGAAGCTTAGAGGAAGAGAGTACTCACACGCTAGCATCGTCACGACCTAGAAGCTTGATCGGTGTGCCAGATTTGGGAGAGACGATACAACCGTCAGGAACCTCGTGATGAGACATAATCCGACCCGGCCACCATGACCCGTTACGGCGTCGGACCCAAACCAACCCTCCTATCGAGGCATCAATCGCCTTACTGTTTTGCTCATCGATACTCCCCATCACACGAGACACACCCAGATAAACCTCCTAAATCCACCGTCTGAAGCACAAAACCAAAAGAAAAATCTCAAATTTATCTTACAGATTCGAGCAGAGGTTCATCGCCATGAAGTTAATCTCTTCAGAGGCATGACTCTCCCTGAAAACTGTAACCGACAGAATCAGAGGAAAACCCAATTATGCAAAATCGAAGCAACAAGAGACGTAAACACTTGTAGAAAGATGAGAGATTTGTTGCAAAAGGGTTTATTTACCGAGAGAAAGATCTGCCACGTTTTATAGAAAAATCCGGAAAACCAGAGATCCAGTGAGTCCTGAGATTACTTCTACGACGTTTCTTCTGCAAGTTTGAAGCTTTTTATCCCCAGTCAAATTCTCGATCAGTGGCAGAGAAACCGCTGTTTTTGACTCGAGGGTTTTTGGCTTCCTCCGCCTCGGAGAAGAGACGCAGAGAGACGAGAGGGGGCGCAAGGAAAAGAGAAGGAGAGAGAGAGAGAGAGAGAGAGAGAGAGAGAGAGAGAGTTTTTTTTCTCGTTTTTGTTCTTTTGGGTTTGAGAGTTTTCTGAATCACCAACGAATGCCAATAACTACGACACAAAACGGTCGCGTTTTTCAGATTACGTTCTTATAAGTTGTTCTGCTTTACCGCTTCAAGGCACAAAGGCAATCTATGGTGACTTATTTATGGCTTGTGTATGTGAGGGGAAATGGTGTATTTCAACATCAACAAATTTCTATGATGTTTTTTTTTTCTTTCATATTTCTATAAAAACATTAACCCACACAATACTAGTTAAAATTTTGAATTTCGCGGATTTAGATGATACGTTAGCAACAAGGTATCATTAATTATAAAATAAAACTCTGTCGTTTTGAACGTTTAAATCTTAAAACATAAAACGACATCATTTTAAATTAACACAAAAATCTAAAATTAAAGATTTATTTCCTTTTTCAATTATTTATTTTGTGTTATATGAAACCAAAAATGACTTTTCTTTTTAATTCGCTGAATAAATTAAAAGCCAAAAAATAAAAATGAGCAAGAGAAGATGAAAAAATCAGTTCATCTTTTTCATCCTTTTATTAGAGTATAGAGATATTGTTCATCTTTTATGCTAAAAACGAATACTTTTACATATATTTTTCTTCTTTTGTAACAATTTGGAGATTTTTTTTCTAATAATTTGCATTTTTCAATAAATTTAGTTTGATTAAAAACTAATTGCCATAAATTATCTTTTACAGATTTTTTTTTCTTTTCAAGTTTTTTAATTACATTAACCCACATAATATTATTATATTTTGAATTTTGCGGGTTTAGATGATACGTTGACAACAAGGTATCATTAATTATTAAACAAAACGATATCATTTGAGTCTTGAAACACAAAACGGCATCATTTTAAATTAAGACAAAAATCTTGATTTATTTAGTTCATCTTTTCAATTATTATTATTGATGGTATGAAACTTAAAGTGACTTTTTGAGTTTGGTTGAATAAACTGAAAACAGAAAACAAGAATGAGCAAAAAAGATGAATTTTTTAAGTTCATCTTTTTCATTCCTTATTGCAGTAAAGAGATATTGTTTCATTTTCATTTTGGTTTGATTGGTTGTTGCTGTAGATACTGTATACAGCAATATTTCTGTTTAAAGTTCTAAATCATATCAATCATGTTTTATAAATTTTATCTTTTCTTTATTTGTTCATAGCCAAAATATTTCTTTTTTTTATTCTTTTGGCTATACAAAGCATTTTTTTCTTTCTAAACCACATAATTTTATGCTTTCCAAATTTGACAATTCTATAGCTAAAGTTTTTAAAAATAAAATCTACAGCTACAGCAAAAAAAACTTACAGCCAGGTCATGGTTGGTAATAGCTGTAGCTTTACGTTTTTGCTGTAAAAATATGGTTGTATGTTTTTTTTGTAGCTGTAGATTTTGTTTCTTTAAAACTTTGACTATATAATTGCAAAATTTGGAAAACATTAAATTGTGTGCTTTAGAAAAAATGCTTTGTACAGTAAAAAAACAAAAAAAAAATTTTTTTGACTGTGAACAAATAAAAGAAACACAAAATATATAAAGCATTATTGGTATAATTTAGAGCTTTAAACATAAATATTGTTATGCACAATATCTACAGCACTAAACAATCAAGCTCATATTTTTACATCAAAAACGTAAAGCTATAGTCATTACCAATCAAATAATGAATACTTTTAAATATTTTTTCTCTTTTCATAATAATTTTTTTTTAATAATTTTCATTCCTCTAATTAAGTTGGTTTGACTAGATATTTATTGCCATAAATTATTTTTTATAGACTTATTTTCTTTCCAAAAATTTCAATTGTGTTATGTGTGGTTTTGATGCATAGAGTACTGACTCAGTTATGCTTGAAGTAAACCGAGCTAATCGTTTCATGTCCGACAATTGATGATATTGACTTGTTGGCATCTCTTCTTTGTGTTTAAGAATTGATTCTTTCTCTTTGTGGTTTCGATCGAGACTACTAGTCTGACCATTTTTTTCTCTTCATTTCTCTTTGTACGTTTTTGGTTGAGTTTTTGAGTTCACCTCTATCCTTACTTTTCTATTTAAGTGTTTGCCGTTTTAGTTTTACCATATACATGATTAGTTTGTTGACACTTTTGGCTTTTTGTAGTTATGTTTGTATTCTCTCTTAAACTGTTAAAGAAAGAAAAAGAAAAAGAAGGTCACGAGGCCATTGTGATTTCGATTTTCAGATATAATACTAACAAATTCCCCCAAAAGGTCTCAAATCTTGTAATCATGAAATGGCAAGTATGGATAAGAATAGATTCGAGATGATATTTGATAAGAGATATTGGGAAAAACATCTTCAATTATACAAAACTTCATTGTCGTTAAATCGTTCTCCTGCATTTTTAGAGAAATATTGTCTTAAGAGGTGTTATTCAATCATGGATTTTAACAGAATTCATATTGATTCACAATTCAATGTTATCCAACTAATGATTTTAAATTATTTCTTAAAATCCAGTGTTATTGGAAATTTTATTTATAAATCATACTTAAAAGATTTTAAAATTTGGTGTTATTCAATTAAAAATTTAAATACTACACTAAAATCCAGTGTTATTGAAAACTAAATAACTTTAAAATCTTTGTATATTAAGTCATTTGAAATGAATTGGAATAGAGTTTTGAAATGAATTGGAATAGAGTTTCATGAGTAAATCATTAGAAATAAAAATCCAAAACAAACTGCAGAAATTTTAGAATCCACACACATAAATTTTTAAAAGCAACATTAAAATTCCAAATCTTGAAGATTATACAACTGTATAGAATTGACTTTAAATCAATAATTGAATAACACCCCCTTAAGTTTTATTAATTCATTAGCGATGGTTAATTCTAACCACTGTTTTTTTTGTAACGTTTGTATTTGGATAAGTACACTTCATAATATTTATGTGAACTGGATACTAGTAATTAATGAACTACATGTAAGTATTTAACACAATTTTCCGAATAGACACGCGGTTAACAGAGAGGGGAAAAAAACTCAAAACTCTACTATACTACAAAGATCATGAACCAAACCAAACCAACATATTTAAAACGAAGTCAAATCGAACATCAGTTTATGCAACCGGCTGGATTTTATTTAATATTTCCTCCGTTTTTATTATATGATGTTTTAGAGATGTGTACACAGATTAAGAAATTATTTAATTTTTTATTTTTTTAAAACAAAACATATTTTTTTGTCAATTCCAAAACAGTTCAATCAATAGAAAAATAAGATTTAAAATTAAAACAGCTAAAACAACAAAAATACAATTACTTTTTGCATAGAAATTTGAGAATATTATATATTTTAGAACAAAAAATAAACTCTAAAACATCATCTAATAAAAAATGGAGAGAGTATATTTTAACCAAGAAAGACAAAACTAATGGGTTTCTGTTTCTTTTGATGTTATTGATTGTCTGTTTTGTTATATATCGATTTCTTTCTCTAACTTTGTTCAAATCGATTTTCATCTGGATCAGTTTGTGATTTTCTTAGTTAATGGGCCTGATCAATGGATCATTTTAGACCGACACCAACACTTCATTGTTCGATGACTGACTGTAACTGACCGCAATACTCTCTTACTCGGTTACTACAAAGAATCAAAAACACAAGAGGCAAAGTAAATATGTTAGCGAATAGCTTTACATAGATAAATGTTTTCTACATAGTAATATAATTTTTGATATGCATTTTTTGTGGAACATGAGAAAAATATTAAGGAATAAATTCCACGACAAATTCATATGAGTCAATGTTTTGGTTACCTTTGTATGGAAGCTAATATTTTCTCTTTTGTTTTTTAAAAAAATGATAATTTTTTGCTGAAGTACAATAATGCTGTTGAAGAATAAATTTCAATATAAATGCACATGATAGGTTCATATGATGGTAACCAAGCACAATAGTGTTATAATTATAGGGACACGAACGGTGTCGTTCACACAATTTAAGAGAGTACGTAACAACTTGATAAAGTCTGATAAGAAACAAAGCTCAACTCATCAAGGACATTGTTCTGTTTCACCATTTTCACCACTTTCTTTTCTTTTCTTACCCCTTCAATTAATTTCCCTTCAGTCATAGAATCTATACCGTGAGAGAAATTGAATGGTCATTTGAGTGCCACGTACATACTTATGGCTTTTTTTCATATTCCTCTGTAATTTAAACTTTAACTTTTACCAATACCACAATGGATTTCGTCTTTGTTATATAGGTGATTTGTTACACTTCCACATTCCGCAGAGGCCTTCTCTATAAACAATTGAAGGTGAATTATACAACAACTCTCTCTATAAACCCTAGTTTTCTTTTCTCTTGTCTTTTTTCATATTGGTCTGCATTTTTACTTTCAGGTGTAATTCAAAAGAGAGGCTAAACAAAATAAAAGCATCGGAATAGGAGAGTTGAGAAGAAGCGACTGAATATCGAGAGGTAATCTCTTGCAGCCTTGCTTATGTGCGTTTTGTTTACCGATCTGAGTTTTTTTTTTCTTACTTGATATTCACGTTAAGTTGTTTCTTGGTCCTTGTAGCTTTCTGAACGTGTTACAGGTCTTTGTAGTTGTCATTAGGGACTGAAAGCTCAATCCTTAACGGGACAGTATTGGTGTTATTTGTAAATAACCAGAAGAAGATCAAAGGAACAATATCTAGCAGAAGAGACAAAGAACAAGTTTATACTAAAATTCCTTAAAGATATCGTTTGTAGTTTACAATATAGTGTTATATTTTGGCCTCACCCATTAATATGTTTGAGTGAGAACCCATGAAGTTGTAGTTTTCAATTGAACCTGCAAAATCTAGATAACAATCTAAATTTTGCAGGTTCAGTTGAAACATGTAACTTCATGGGCTTTCAGTCAAAGATATTCTTCGATGAGACCGAAATATAATGGTATGTTATGAACAACAAACGATATCATTAGCTAAGCAAGCTTTCGAGTAAGTCTTCTAAGCTTCTTTTCCAGATATTAATTTTTTTTATTCTCTTTTGGTCATTTACAATCTCTTACGGTGTATTTTGAACAACAAACGATATCTTTTGGTCATTTACAAATTAAATCATAC